CGATCTTGTGCACAGGCAAGCAAGACAAGGCTCATTTCATCATTATAACACTGGCATGGCCTCAACAACACTGGTACTCAACTCTACTATCCTTGTCAATCAAACCTCTGCTGTCTCTCCTGCTGGATCCAGACCTAATTTCTCAAGTCCACGGTTGTCTGGACCTCCCCAGCCTACAAGACCATCACCTGACAAATTGGATGCTTCATGGTTGATGCTAGACAAAAGATCTTGTTGTAAGGATTTCCTGGAAATACTCCCCAATAGTAGAAAACCCTCAACTAGAGGCGCTTACCTGGCTAAGTGGAAGCATTTCTCCATTTGGTCCCAGGAGAAAGATGTATCCCCAGACAACGCATCCCTGAGCCTTGCACTGGACTATCTTCTTCACCTGAAACATCAGTTTACCGATTAGCTCTGGAAAGGTGCACCTGGCTGCCATCTCGGCTTTTTCACACCCCAGTGGATAGTAGGTCCCTTTTCTCCAACCCAGTCATTACCAGGTTCATGAAGGGCTTCATCAGACTGTACCCACAGGTGCACGATCCTCTCCCCCTTGGGATCTGAGTTTGGTCCCAGCAAAGCTAATGGGACTGCTGTTTGAATCCCTCGCAACTTGCTCTCTCTCTCTATGCAGGTAGCATTCTTAGTGGCAATTGCCTCAGCCAGAAGTGTGGGCAAGTTGAGAACCCTTAAGTACATGAGCATGGGGATGAGGAGAGGCTTCACTCGCTGGATGGTGAGAAAGGCTTTAGCTTTCTACTTGGACCATACTAAGTCTTTTAGATCCTCCACACAGTTGTCCACTAAGGTTGCTGACAGGGTCTCCACTTAGAGGATCTCATCCTGGATCTAACTGTGCATTTACTTGTGCTTCCAGTTAGCCACCAGCTAGAGTATTGGCGCTTTCTACAAGAGCACAGGCAACCTCAGTGTCAGTCTTAGATCACTGCAGAGCAGTGACGTGGTCATCAGTCTGCATTATGCCATTTCCCATCAGTTCAGGGATGGTGCCAGTTTCAGACAGGTTGTCCTTCAATCACTATTCAGGTAGACTCCAAGCTCACATTCATGTTTGTCCACGGGTGAGTCACCTGCAGTGGAATGGACATGAGCAAGCACTCGAAGAGAAAAAAACGGTTACCTTCCTTTCTGTAACTGTTTGTAAAGGGGCTATGCTGGGGCTCGACCCTCTCCGGGGCAGTGGGGAGCCACACCGGCTCGCTACACACAGTTAACTTTGGGGAATTTGTCCAGCCACCGGAATCTCCCTTGGCAGCCCTTGCGGTAACTGGACGGAGCACCGTAGGCTTGAACCCTGAGTCAGGGCAGGGCACAAAATAGTCAGTAGCTCAGGCCCTCAGGCAGGGCTGAGCATATAGCCCAATGTTAGCAGGCACGGCCCTGGGTCAGGGCAGGGGTAACAAACAGTCAATAGCTCAGGTCCACAGGCAGGGGCTGAGCAGCACAGCATGTGTGAATTAGCCCAGGCCTCCAAGGACCTGGAAAAGGGGGAGACGGCCACCCACGAGTTGGGTGGCAGGGGGGGACGCAGGCCCACCCACTCCACTGTGTCCCGGCCCGGGGCCCTAGCAGCGGCAAACGACCCGCTGCTGGGTCAGTGGGGATCCTGGCCGCCAGACACTGACATGGGCTCTGGCAGAGTTACAGCCGGGCTAGGGTCGGCTGCCCCCGGGCTACTTCCTGACTCCCCTCCTTCTGGTACCTGGGTCCCGGCGGTGCTCTCTGGGGGGTCCAGCACCAGGGGTTCCTTGGGGCAGTGGACAAGCGGCAGGGCCGGCCGCTCCCCCCGGAGAGCGGGCGCGGGCCGGGGCCGGCCAGTCCTGGCGTGGACCTGGGGCCGTGGGGTTTTCCCGGTCACGGGCTAGGTTGGCTATGTCTGGCCTCCCCAGCGGCTGGTCCTCTAGTGAGCTCTGAGGGCCCCCCCTTTATACTTCCAGGTCGCGCCTTTCTACTTACGGGTCGCCGCCTGTCCCTCTGAGGGGCGGGCTCAGAGCGTCCTGGCTCCGCCCACTCTGGTGTCTGTAGGGGCTCGAACCTCTCCGGGGTGGGGGGGAGCCACAGCGCCTCGCTACACTGTTGTTCTTGGAGATGTGTTGCACATGTCCATTCCATGACCCACTCGCCTTCTCCTCTTTATCAACCCATCCAATATGAAGGAACTGAGGAGGGTCAGGGCAGCTCCACACTCTCATACCAGCATGCAGTGGCGTCACGCAGCAGAGGTGACTCGAGCTGCCCCGACAGGTACCGCTGAGTGGAGAAAAGATCTCTCGTAACTGTGCACGAGGCAAGCACACGCTGAGAATGGAATGGACACATGCAACACATCTCGAAGAACAACAGGAACAAAAAGGCAGGAAACTGTTTTTTTCTCACAGTTGACATCTGACAAGTAGGAGTAGGTGACTAAAAATGACTGAGGGCAGTTGCACATCTGCAGAGGAGTAGCTGGTCAAAGCAAGATCCGTTAGTAAAATGCAACATAGCTGCACTGGATACCAAGATCCTTTAGGCCACAATCCTGCAATCAGATCTTCATGGGCAGACCCTTGTGCCTACACAAAAATCCATGCAAGTTAAGGTTCAATCCACACTGACTCTGTTGCAGGCTAGGGGTCATATAAGTCAATTTCTACACTCATAATCCAACCATGTTACTACACGCTTTTTGGGCCATGATTGTAAATATCTCTTTAAATAAGGACTGTGAACATAAGAACAGCCATACTGGTCAGACCAATGGCTCATGTAGCCCAGACTCGTCTTCCAACAGTGGCTGGTGTCAGATGCTTCAGAGGGAATGGCAGAACAAGGCAATTATTGAGCGATCCATCCCCTGTCATCCAGTCCCAGCTTCTAGCAGTCCAAGACTTAGGGACACTCAGGGCATGGAGTTGTATCCCTCATCATCTTGACTAATAGCCGTTGATGGACCTACCCTCCACGAACTTACCAAATTCGTTTTTGAACCCAGTTATACTATTGTCCTTTACAACATCCTCTGGCAAGGAATTCGACAGGTTGACTGTCCGTTGTGTGAAGAAGTACTTCCTTATGTTTGTTTTAAACCGGCTGGCTATTAATTTCATTGGGTGTCCCCTGTTTCTAGTGGTTTGTGAAGGGGTAAATAACACTTCCTGATTCGCTTTCTCCACACCATTCATGATTTTATAGACCTCTACTGTATCCCCCCTTTCTCATCTCTTTTCTAAGCTGAACAGTCCCAGTCTTTTTAATCTCTCCTCATATGGAAGCTGTTCAATACCCCTAATCGTTTTTGGTGCCCTTCTCAGTACTTATGCCAATTCTAATATATCTTTTTTGAGAAGAGGCAACCAGAACAGCAGGCAGTATTCAAGGAGTGGGCGTACCATGGATTTATATAGTGACATTATGATATTTTCTGTCTTTTTATGTATCCCTTTCCTAATGTTTCCTGCCTGTTTTCCAAGAAGATTGATGTCCTCCTTTCACTTTAAAAACTGCTCACCTCACTTGTAATCTTCCTGTTTTGTGTTATTCTGCACTGAGAGTTATATGAACATGCTGCAAAGGGATGGAAAACAAGAGCTTTCAAACAGACAGTGTCATATGTTCTGGCTGGCTGATAATTCCAGCCGGGAAAGCTTATAAAGCTCCAGACCCCAGTCCTTTGATCACTTGTGAAAATATGGTAGAAGGGAGGCCTCTGCTGATGACCCACTGCCCAGGCCCAGCAGGGTAGATGGAAAATGATGAATTAGTCTGAGGTAAGATGTCCTACTGAAAAACACATGTTTTATAGATTTCCCCACCCCCACCCTCTCAGTACTACTTGAAATCTATTATGGCAACTGGATTCTCTTTATGCTGAGGTATTGTAAAAAGGTGCCTTGGACATAGTGATCCCAATGAGTGTGCGATACTGCTCAGCAGGGTCTCTTTCAAGTCAGTGTCCATGGCAGGTGAGTCGTGCTTTAGGAATGAAAACCATGTTTCTTCTGTGGATGTCTGATTCCTGGCGGCGGTGATCCACCAGCTCTCCAAGGGAGTGCAGTCCTTCCTGTGGCTGCTCCCTACGAAAGCTGTTGTCACAGGAGTAAAAAGAAAAGGAGTACTTGTGGCACCTTAGAGACTAACCAGTTTATTTGAGCATAAGCTTTGATGCATCCGATGAAGTGAGCTGTAGCTCACGAAAGCTCATGCTCAAATAAATTGGTTAGTCTCTAAGGTGTCACAAGTACTCCTGTTCTTTTTGCGAATACAGACTAACACGGCTGCTACTCTGAAACCTGTCATAGGAGCGTGTGCCTGGATCTCCTCTCGCCTATGTTGGGGGGAGGGATGGCTCGGTGGTTTGAGCATTGGCCTGCTAAACCCAGGGTTGTGAGTTCAATCCTTGAGGGGGCCATTTAGGAATCTGGGGCAAAAATTGGGGATTGGTCCTGCTTTGAGCAGAGGGTTGGACTAGATGACCTGCTGAGGTCCCTTCCAACCCTGATATTCTATGATTCTACACTGGTGTAACCCTATTGACTTCAGGGGAATTGCTCCTGCTTCATGCTGGTGTGAGGGGAGCCACGCCTAAGGGCTCTGTGGTAAACACACATTCTGCCTGGCATTGCATGTGTGCCAAAGACACGTTTCTATTACAATAGAGCCTAGAGGCCCCGACCGAGATAGCGACCTCATTGCATTCTAGGAGCTGCACATATACACATTGATACAATTCCTGCTCTGTTGATCTTACAACGCATATAGACAAGACAAAGGGTGGGAGAAAGGATGTCTTATTATCCCCATTTTACTCATGAGGAGCTGAGACACAGAGAGATGAAATGACTTGCCCAAGGTCACACAGCAGCTCATTGTCAGAGATAGGCTTGGTCTTGACCCAATGTGTGCTAGAACTATTCAATAATTTGAAAATGTGTACTGAATATTGGCATTGTTTCAGTGAATAATAATTCATGGATTCATTTCTTTTTTTTTTTAAGTTATTCAACTAGCTGTACTAAGAACAGAACCAGTTTGGCCAAGGCAGAAATCAAGAATTGGACCAAATAGCTGCTGTCGCTGAGTGGTAAGGAAAACAATGATGCCACTGACTCCCCTTATCAAATGAGGTAGAATGGTAGATCCTCCCCTGGCTTCAGTGTTGCAGCATTTGGGCACATAATGTCTTTCAGGGCAGGGGTTATCTCTTTGTTATGTGTCTGTACAGTGCCAACAGGACCCTGATCCATGACAGGTGCAGGTGTGACAGTTGCCATCTTGGCCAACACATCGGGGACTGAACAAGGGGTCTCCAGAGAGAAAAAGCAAGAGCTACTACAGTTCACGCTAAAGAACCCAGGCTCTGTAGCAGGGGGTGGTAACAACTTGTATCCTCTGTCATTTGGTACCAAGGGGACCCTGTTACACACACTCACCAGTGGGTTACACATTAGTAATAATGATATAGAGTCTACCAGCCAGATTACATAGGTGTGGATTGCAGAATGAGCTTGTAAAGGTAAAATGCTAAAGCCAATCCACATTTAATGGCAATAGGAAAACAAAATGAAACTCAGTCCAACCAAACTTTGGCCTTGATTCTGATCTGATTGAAGCCCCTGTACAATTCGAGCTAACAGGAAAGACTCCCTTTGACTTCAGTGGGAATTGGGTTGGGGCCTTGCCCCGATGTAAATTGGATTAATGTCCGTGAAGTCACTGAGGGGTATAAAACTGAGGTGAGCAGAATCAGAATCAAGCCCAGTCTCTTCACTTCCTTTAGCCACTGAGTTTGGTGACACTTCTGCCTGAAATGAAACCGGGAGCTTGGCTACAGAGTATTTCTACAGGAAAACTACCCGGGGCGACTCACTTCCTCTGAGGAGCTAGTGCTGCACCTGTGAAATTAGCCACAGTCGGGCTGGCAGGGGGGCTGTTGACTCATTCAAACTCAAGCTTGAAAGAGGTACAACCATCGATTCTTCAGTTTAAACATGACCGTTTGTGTGTATTGGGAGACACTGGTCTTTCTTTCCAACACTAGCTGAGCTACAATCACCTTCAGTCATTCAGGTGTTTAGTTCATCTCCCAGATATGAGGAAAAAAGTTCCCACTTCTATCTTAGGGAAGGAGCTGGAGAGAGAGAACATTGTAGCAATTTAAAGGAAAGAAGAGGAATAATGACATACCTTATACATACACGCTGTCTCTTTGGAGGGGGAAAGAAACCTCCAGTACCGTTACATCGTGGTTGTGACGTTATTAATGTAATCTGTAACTGTATAGATCACTGTTGCAACCACTTTTATACAGTTGCAGCAAATATTGTATAAAGGTTGTAATGTAAGGGGGTCTATGAAGAGGTTATGATTTTCTGGTTATGATTATGCTATCTGTATGCATGCATCATTTTTGTAGGTGAAGTTATAAATATTGGCTATGTACTTGTAAATCAATGGTTTTGATTCTAAGAAGCCTTAGTAAAGCATTTGGTCTGCTTCTTGAGAAAGAAATGTGCAAGTTAAGAGCCCAATCAAGAAACACTTAACTAACAATGGATCTTGGAAGACTCCAATCCACATAATGACAGGTTTCAGAGTAACAGCCCTGTTAGTCTGCATTCGCAAAAAGAAAAGGAGTACTTGTGGCACCTTAGAGACTAACCAATTTATTTGAGCATGAGCTTTCGTGAGCTACAGCTCACTTCATCGGATGCATACCGGAAACGGTATGCATCCGATGAAAAGCTCATGCTCAAATAAATTGGTTAGTCTCTAAGGTGCCACAAGTACTCCTTTTCTTTTTCCAATCCACATAAAAAGTCTTCCTGGGAACATGCAAGGTAGCATGTGAGCAATGGCTGCCACCTGTAAAAACTGAGTCATGCATGGACATGACTTGCCCATGTGATTCCAAACTCCATCTTCCTGTAATTTCCACAGTAAGAACAAAAAGGTGTTTTTACACCCGGAGGAGACTGTAAAAGGCTGATGCCTCATGTCCATCTGGTCTTCAATCTTGTTTCATATCTTTGGAGGAACTTTCTGAAGCTTTGAACAAAGGACTGAATGACCCATTCCAGCTGTGGATGTACTCCAGAGACTTGATTTAAACCTGCAGTTTATTCTATCACTGCTTCAAGCCTGAACCAAGAACTTTGCCATTGCTGTATGTAATTGATTCCATTTAACCAATTCTAGCTCTCATCTATATCTTTTTCCTTTTATGAATAAACCTTTAGATTTTAGATTCTAAAGGACTGGCAACAGCTTGATTTGTGGGTAAGATCTGATTTTTATATTGACCTGGATCTGGGGCTTGGTCCTTTGGGATCGCGAGAACCTTTTATTATTTTTACAAGGGTATTGGGTTTCATAACCATTTGTCCCCAGAACAAGTGGCACTGGGGGTGATACTGGGAAACTGGAGTGTCTAAGGGAATTGCTTGTATGGCTTATGGTTAGCCAGTGGGATAAAACCGAAATGTTCTCTGTTTGGCTGGTTTGGCTTGCCTTGGTGTGCACAGAAACCCCAGCCTTGGGCTGTAACTGCCCTGCTTTAAGCAATTTGTCCTGAACTGGCACTCTCAGGTGGGTCCCACCAGAACCAGCATTGTTACAGTGGTATTCTGTGTATTACTGTTTACCCAACAAGATAATTTCTTCTGTTTTCATTTGTACTGCTGTAGTGCGTAGAGGTCCCAGCTGAGGTTAAAAGAGTATGATGTGCTGGGTATTGTATAAGCTCCTAGTGAGAGACAGCGCTGCCCCAAAGACCTTACGGTCAGCAGACAAGACAGAGAAAGGAAGGATTTATATTGCTGTTATACAGGTGGGTAACTGAGGCACAGAGGTTAATTGACTCACTCAAGGTTACATAGGGAGTCCATGTCAGAGTTGGGAATGAACCGAGTTTTACTGAATCCCAAGCAGTGCCTTAACCACAAGATCACACTGCCTCTACACCATTGTTCCTGAATTCTGTTTGTCAGGGGACTGAATCATAGGAGATCAGGTCTAGTGCTCAGAGTCTGAATGGCAGAGCAAGGGTTGAGACAGAGCTGGAGTCAGGAAGCAGAGCCGAGGATCAGAGCTGGATTTCCAGGAGTCAGGGAAGGCAGGAGCGGGATTGATTCTGAGGCAGGAGTGAGGCTGGAACAGGATGGGAATAAGGCTGGGTGCAGGACAGGGTCTGGGCTGGAGCAGTAGAGGAAGAGGGCTTGGAGAGAGATGAGCACAGGGAGACAGAGTCTGTGGGTGTGTGCGTTGAGCAGCCGGCGAGGAGCTGCTGCTGCTGGGCTTAAGAACCGGCCTGTTGGCTTCTTCATCCAATCAGGCAGCCTAGCCGGTGGGTTAGGGTGTCAGGAGTACTGAGCAGGCACAGCTGCGGGGCTTTACTTTGGACACTGTTCCATCCAGGCAGACCCCGGTACCTATATGGAGCCCCACAGCTGTGCCGGAGCAGGGGGCCGCTGCACATATCCTGTTGCAGGATGGGGCTTGAGAAGAGCTGCATGCCATCTTCCGTGGGAAGAACTGTACAAGGAACAAGTCCGGAAGGCAAATAAATTGCAGAAATGCTGCCTCCAAAGTGTTCCCCACCCACGGCTGGCCCTCAGGGTGAGAAAACAGGAGTGGAGCTTGAATTGGAGTCTCCCGCATGGGAGTGCAGGGCCACGTCATGAGGCCACCAGGCAGATCCAGGGTTTGATGTGGGCTTTTAAATTTCAACGTGAGACATGGAGACTGCATTCTGTGTCTGATTTGGAAGTTCCACATTACGGAGGATCCTTTAATATCTTGGCAAAATTTCCACTGCAAACACCCTTGCCCAGAGAAGGAGGAAGAGCAGTTGTTAGCATCAGTCCATGCCCTATATTATTATCCCACTTCTGTCCTGGCTAGGAAGGTTCCCTTGTTTCTCCATCATGAAATGTAATGGGATTCTTCTAGGCTTTTCCAGGGCAATCTTTCATCATAGCAGGAGACCCAGCTGTGTTTCCAGGGATGATGTCACATGACCATTATTTGTCATGGTCATGGGTGGATCAGTGGTTAGCACCAATGAGCAACAAATGTTACTAGTGGATGGAATGTATTTTAGTTCTAGTTTATCTCCAGACAATAGGAACACAAGAACTGTCATACCAGATCAGACCAATGCTCCGTCTTATCCAGGGCCCTGTCTGCGACAGCAATCAGTACCAGCTGCTTCAGATGAAGCTGCAAGAAACTCGGAAGTGGGCAATTATAGAATAATTTGCTCCTAGGGAAACGTACTTCACTGATGGCTGGTATTTTTGGCTGTGTCTGCACTAAAAGTGCTACAGCGGCACAGCTTGTGTCAGCCTAGTGGTGTCTACATAGCAGCATAGGTTGGCTTAACTAAATTAATCACAGCCCTGAGCAATGTCGTTAAAAAGACCTCAGTCTGTAACGTAGACCAGCCCTCAGGGAGCAAGAGAAAGAAACAGAAATAAGGCGGAAAAGGGAAAGAATAGAGCCCATGTTTTTCAAAAGTGACTAACAATTCTGGCTGTCCAACACAGAGACACCTTGAAGGAGGCTGATTTTCAGAGGACTTTCAGCACTCTCTGAAAATCAGGCCCTTTCATGGTATCTCAAGCTGGGCACCCAAAAGTTAAGGCACCCAAAATCACTAGTCACTATTGAAAATCAAGGCCAGGTTCCCAATATGATACCTTTCTACCTCCTGGCATGCTCCCTGAACTGATAGGCAGAGGTAGATCTGAACCAAACCCTAGGAAAGAGACCCCGATTTCTTGTGTGTTCAATTTCTGTCTACTAGACACTTTCTCTTTTTTTAAATTGAGTGGGTCTAATATAAAGGAAAACATTAGCAAGCCTATTCTGATCTATGCCTGGATGAGTTTGAAATGGAAGCCCCCACATCCTCTGTTTAATGTGGCTTTTGATGTTACCTAATGTACTTGGACCTTCTAAAAGGTTCCATTTAGAGGGCTTAAATCTGGAAACCATTTGACAATTAAGCCAGAAGACGCGACAGGGTGTGTTTTATAGGACCCATTAATGGACGCCTCGGGGTGTGCTGCAGTGTGGCCTCCT